GAGTGGAAAGTCTCCCACCATGGAAAAGGTGATTTAATTTACACCATTGGATTTTTTTTATTTTTTTATTTAATAAGGATCTTCTTCCTTTTATATTCGAGGTTCAATTTTTTTCTTCTTCTTTTTTTTTTTTTTCTCTTTTTACGAGCTATTTATGAATTTACCCTATCCTTCCCTTTCATCAACATCTTGCTGTTGTTATCCCCTTTCCTCTCACCGTCAACCTCCCACCATTGCTAAAAAAATTTTTTTTAGTAAATGTATTATAAATTTTAGTAAATGTTGTTATCCCCATTCAAACCCCCTCCTTGGAAATTTGATTTTTTTTAGTAGATGTATTATAAATTTTAATCTCAAATTGTTAAAAAATGGATTTAATGGAAAAGATTTCATTAGGCACATGATGAACAATACTGTGAATTTTCAATAGGGTTGTATTACTTATAAAATTTAATTAATGTACTACATTATTTAAAATTAAATATTTATATAATTATAAAAGAAGGGAAAGAAAAAAAAAATTGGCCCCCTCTATGTTTGGTCTCTGGATTCGTCCCAGCTGATTGCGACCCTTACGGTCCAACATTTGAAATCAGCATAATCATGCACATGAGATCAATAAATCTTCACATTTGAAAATTTGGAATGAATAAAAATCAGATCGAAAAACAATGGGCACTCACGGAAAGATTTGGTCGGAGAGAAGGGAGAGCAAGTCGAGCATGATAGAGATGGCGAAGTTGTCAAGGGTGAATTTGTGAATCTGTATGGAGTACTCTTGGAATTTAAGTATGAAGTAAGTCTCATATAGGTTAAAATTGTATACGTCTAATAATTTATAAGTGAAAAAATCTATTTATCTAATATCTTAAGATTTTGGGTTGAAATATGGTGTCAAACTCATTTTTATAACTTATTTATTATTTAATGGATGAAATGTTCTTCAATGTAAAACTCTCTAACAATGAGTGGGTTAAGATTAAGTAGCTAGTGACTGACTTAGACAAATAAAAAAAGGTATCATTCAAGAGATAAAATAGAAAAATAAATAAATGAATGAAAGAAACATGTCAATCATTGATTGAGAAATATGTAAATCTAATGATCATTTTTTTCCTTTTCCATGGTGGGAGATGTGTAACTCTCCCTACATCTTCTTTGTAACCAAATTCTTGATTGTGTAATGACCAATCAATGATAGAGATCTTTGTAAGATGATGATTAGACAAAAACAAGACTATGTCACTCATATGTAATATTTTTCTCAAATATGGTTATTTATTAGCTTAATTACACTTGTTGTCACTCATCTTTTTTATTTTTGTAAATTTTGTCATTCAACTTTTAAAATTTTACATTTTTTCATCTAATTTTCAAAATTGTGTATATTTTGTTATCTCATTAGCCTAGTTTATCATTGACATTATTAGTTGAATGTTGATATTATATATTGATGGTTGATATGATATGTTAATCGCTAATATAATATATTAATTACTAATGTGTCATATATATTATGTGAATATCACATAATGTAATTCTCTCAATTATGCTTCACTTTCTCTCTCTTAAGTTATTTTAAAGTAACCGTTCAATGGTTAAGATTTTAATAAGACATTAGTTGGAAAAAAAAACATAGATAGAGAGAATCCGCATTAATTCATTAATAATGTATTAAAAAAGACATAAATATATATATTAAAAATATTTGACCAATAATAAACATATCGAATAAAAATCTCTCTTTTACCGAGTCGAGACGATCGACCACGACATATTTATCCAATATAATCAATTTTTTTAATTATTATTTTTAATTGAAAAATTTAACTAAATGTTGATTATATAAGAACAATTAGAGTGAGATATTCCTAAATTTGAATTAATATGTTGGTATGATTATAATATTTTCTATCAATTAAAAAAAAAAGATAAATAAGGGGTGTTCTCACAGCATGCAACAATTTCTTGTGGAAGTTGATTGGCCCCGATCCTATTTGTACTGTTTTATGTGTACCCGTCAAAGCCACCCCTAAAAAACACAGGCCGTTTCTTGTGTCACAGTAACATTCATTCTCTTTCATAGGAACACACTCGCACATACATACATAGATGGAAGATAGGTTCTTTCTTGATTACCCTTTTTCACCCTCCAATAAATAAAATCCAAAACACAATCACCATTGTACAAATCGAACAAGACGCACGTTCGATACTCCAAGAATCTCACTTTTTCGTTTTCCTCGACGTCTTTCCATGATCGAGAATCTACCCTTCATAGGATCATGCACAATTCTTGAAACCCTTTGTTTTTCTCTCGTGGCCTTCGTTTTTCTCGCGGTTGTCTCGTTGAGACTGATGTAAAACTGGCGTGTTATTTTTTCTTGCTTCTTTGGTTGGTGCGGTGACATGCACCATGCGGGCTACGTGAGTACGGAGGTGCCTGTGTTTTTTGTTGTGTGCGTTTGTTAACGAGTGTGTCCTTGTCAGAAGAGACAGATACAAAGACAATAACAATGACAAATCCATCGGTTCAAGTCAATGGGGCGAAGCTCTCAGCATGCTTGACATGTCTTTTGTGTAATAAGTTGTTCAGAAACGCCACCACTATATCTGAATGCTTGCATACTTGTAAGTGCTTCTTCGTTTTCTCACCCACCCTTTTTTGTTTCTCTTTCTATGCTTTGCTCCATTTTTTATGCTGAAAATTTTATTTCTTGGACCTTGGTTGTTGTAGCTCATGATATGTGCGGTTTTCAATTTTTCCTTTTATTTTTTTCCCTTTTATGTATTTGGAAACCACAATGCCTTATCCTTTTCACTCTGTTTCATGGTCAGCTCATCTACTGACTTTATTTAAATCCTTTGTTAATTTAGCTTCCATGCAGCTCGAAATTTAACAGGAAATTCCTGCCACTTAATATTTTCCAATCATGTGCCAATTGACATACATTTTGTAGCATTCTGTATTTTATAGGTAAACATGATACTGTATGCAATCTGCATGATAACTCTTGTAAGTTTATGGTTCAATTGAAATACTGAAGATGATTCCAAGCAGCATGTTTTTATCAAAATAATGTAGTTAAATTTTATATGAAGCAGGTTTTGATTTTTACATGTTTTCAATCAAAAAGGAACAAGGATGTTTAGTTATTTGCTGTACAATCAGCAAAAATCTTTCCAATTATCAGTAAATTCATGATTGTATCATGATATTTAATGAAATAATTTTACTTTGATCAACTTGAAGGGTCTTGGTATGATTGAAAACGAGTATCTGCTTGGTAATAGTGGAGTGAACGTATATAGTAAGGTAGAGAATGATTATCTGGACACTTGTACACAAATTACTTGCTGATTTTCTTCTATATTCACCTTGCATTTTTGGGTGCTTGTGCTTATGCTTAGTCATGTCAGTGTATGACTGTGTTAGAAACTAGGTGCTAGTCTCCATCATTCCCTTGCTTTCAGGTGTTTTTTTTTTCTTCCAGAATATCACTCATTGTTTTTCTTTTCCATCTACCTTTCTGTTTCTCAATCTGTATGAAAGTGCAAGTCTAATCTTGAGTTTAACAACAGTTTGCAGGGAATGTATAGATAAGAAGTTGATAGATGAGCAATTAACCCACTGTCCAGTTTGCAATGTAGACTTGGGTTGTACTCCACTCGAGAAATTAAGGTAGTCTCGTCTATGAACATGACTCTACTTTAAGAAATGGTTGACAGATTGGTCTATTATTCTCTCTGCTGCAGGAACTGGTCTCATGTCCCTTTATCACACCATTGTAATTTGTATCATCATATGATTATCCTGATAGCATATGTATTCTTCCAAGGAATTACTTTATTTTAGTGTAGAATCATGCAGGGATAGACCAGAATATATGGTTGTTTGTAACTGGAAACAAGTAAATGAGATTTTTACAGTGATCTGAGTTTATCATGGTTGTTTGCTTCTGTGCATGCACCATGGGAAAAAGTTTATGTGACCAATTCTTTTTCTTTTCTTATTTCTTTGTGATTGTTGAAAAAAAAAATAAATTTCCTTCCTATTTTTTGAAGTTTTCTTGAGCTTTATCTGACTTCTATGCTGTTTTGGAAATGAACAGGCCAGATCGCATTCTGCAACATTTGAGAGAGAAAATTAGATCCCGTACAGGACAAAATACTAAGGCACCTAACAATATTCCTCTGGGCAAATTGATAGTCAAAAAAAGAAAGAAGAAATCTCTATCTTCGTTAAAAGCAAATGAAGAAATAGCCGAAGCTGCTCCAAAAAAAGATTTCATTGCCAAAGGATCAAAGCTTTCAACTCCTAAACCTGATAAAGTGAAAGATGTTAAGGAAGATGAAACCAACGATGGGGTAGAACTTTTGGAAGAAGTTTCTACAATTGGATCTGCAAGAAGAGCAAAAGCTGCAGCAAGAATAAAATTTATTCGAACTGCACCACCTCCTTCTAGTCATCAACTTGACAAAGTAACAAGAGAAGAAAAGAAAGATGATAATCAACCCCGGGTCGAATCTTCTAATGGATCTCTCAAAATTAAAATTCAGGTAAAGGAGATAAAAGCATTTCTTGTCCTCTAGTCTTTTATCTAGTTTTTACTTGTTTCTGCTTCCAAGAAGCTGACTATTTCTATTTGCTGGACAATTATTTACTATAATTAGCAGACTTCTACAAAACCAAATTCAAGTCAAAAGTTAGTCACCAACAAGATTTCAAGGAACAATGCTGAGTTGAGGAATGAAAAGACTGATGATATGGCGGAGACATTAAATAGCCTGGTGGAAAGTGCAAGCAAACGCAAGTCTCGTAATAAGTCCACCATGCAGGAAAATGGTGTCACTCCAGCACCTGTGCACTCTAATGACAATGACCCTCAGGTGCATAAGGTTGATGTCAACAAACATTGTCACAGAACAAACACTGCTGGTGATGAAAATGAGTCAACTCCTTCAGAATCAGATTCAGTCAAACGTCAAAGGACTATAAGCACCCAAGAAAAAACACTCAAGATCTCCGAGGACTTGAATTTTCCAGCACAACCTGAGATTGGTACTACAAACAATGAAAGCAACAAAGCATTTGGTCCAATCTGGTTCTGTTTGGTTGCTGCTGAAGAAAAGTGAGATTACATTTCATGGCTTATTCAACATTCTAAGAACAATTATATTCTGGAGTATCTGATTCTGACCTTGTATACAGGAAAGCAAGTGCACGATTGCCACAAATATCTTCCTGCTACCTAAGGATCAAGTGAGTTTTACATTCTTATTTTCTGTTATGGGTTTTTGTTGGCTGATCATTTACAGTGTTTGAATGTGCATGCCGTGCATGAAATAATTATTTATATGGCTGATGTTTCTTTGGTAAAAAACTGTTTCTGTGTATTCACATTTATAATGCTCTAAACCATACTTTCATTGTCCTTCTTTGGCATCCCTTGGTTGGTCTATATTTACTACTTCTGTTAATCTGGTGTATGATATCATTCTTATTTCTCATTATTCACATTGGCATTTTTGGTTTCTGAGACATTTTTGTAATTATTATTATTTTTCTAATTTATCTTTCTTATCAAGCACATACTGGTATAACCGTATAACTAATAAGTTTAATTAATAAATCTCTAAATGACTACAGGGATGGTAGTGTACCTGTTTCCTATATTAAAAAGTATCTGGTGAAGAAGCTTGGTCTTGCAAACGAATCTGAGGTAAAATTGGTTCTCTCTTTGTTAAAACTGACACCTTATTGAGACAATTTATAGCCATTTTCCAGAAGCTAATTGTTTTTCTGATTTACTCTTTTAGGTGGAGATCACATTACTTGGTCAGCCAGTCTCATCTTCATTGCAACTGAAAAACTTAGTAGAGATGTGGTTGCAAACAGTGCCAACGAATGAGATTCAAACATCTGTTGGAAGCTCAGCCAAGGATTTTATTATGATCCTTTCATATAGTCGGAAGGCTTGACACCTCAAAAACTATAAACTACCCTGCTATGCTTTCTTAAAGGATTTTTATTAATTTTGTTTATTAGAAGCCCCAATCTTTCTTGATTGAGAGCTATGTGCGGTATATACATTATACCCTTCATTTACAATAGATTTTATTGTTTATTCGAATTAGATTTTCTTCTTTTATGTTATGAATCTTTTATATCTCACTTTTTTTACCTTCGTTTCTCTTGTCTTTTTATTGTTTCTTTGGCGATCAAGTAGGAAATAATCAAAATATACTAATAAGATATACGTGCATATATGCCTATGATAGTGTCGATCTGATTTAGCTTTTAACGGTTAAAACTATAAAAATAAATAAATAAAATACAAGTTATGATATAAATATGATCTGTTTCGCAACCAATCATCATTTATTTATTCATAAAAATGATTTATACACACTTCTTGGGATATGTATTTAGTTTACAACTTTGGGAGATAAAAGAAAGAGAAAGCGATTGGTATTAGTTGCGTTGCGTAACTACGAGAGATATAGAAAGAGGTGCAAGATGCTATAATATTGTGGTGTAGAAAAATTAGAATTATTTTTTATTTATTCTAACAAGTTACAAATGAAACAATGTTCACTGTTAAATCAGTTTACGCGGCGGGGTAGTTGAGAGTTACAAGGAACTTTTCTAGTAATGTAGATCTGGAAAATTCAGAATTCAATTTGTTCAGCCAAATAGGATTTTTCATTTAACTAAAAGAACACTACGTTCGATTCACGCTACTTTTACTTTACAGCTCTTTCATGGAGAACTCCCTAGCCCAAACGATAAGATTTTCAGGTAATCTGAAGCCTGTTGGCGAGTGAAAGCATAAGTGAGATAACTACTCATGAAAAAGGCATCTGAAATTTGATTTTGCTAAAGCGGAATAAAATTAACGATGTCTTGGACTACAACCGCAGAGAACTTAAAAGAGAATCTATTTCTATATCTTCTATTCTTCGTTTTAGCCACTGAAAAGCAAAGATTAGGCACGTGAACCTCGTCTAACGAATGACGTTTTGTTAATTTTGGATAATCATTGTATCAGAATTTGCATTTTATTCTGTTATTTAAAAGGGGAAATAAAAAGAAAAAAAAAACTAATGTTTGTAATAATACTTGTGGTTTGATTCTAAAACATGAAATTATTTGTTTATTTAATTCTAAAGCATCGCCTGATTGCAAGATCTGCACGGACAGCACGGTCAAAGAATATTGATGTTACTGCTCCAAAGGACTGTGCATAGAGACATGTTGCATGCAAAACTGAACTAATTTAAATTAGATTATATGCTTGCTGAATAAAATCACAAGGAAAATTGGTACATAAAAATTATTTTTCTCATGAATACAAGCAGACCCTAAAATACAATTAGAGAATTAGAAATTTCGTCCTCTTATAATTTTTACAGTTGATAAGGGTATTTGTTTAGGACCTGTATCGATATTGATGACAGACTCTGATACAAAATATAAATATTGTGAATTTTTTCACATGACAATAGAAATAGAAATATCGTGAATTTTTTCGCATGACAAAAGCAGGAAAAGGGGACATTTGCAGAACAGACAATTTAATGTCATGCATGTTAAGTAGCAACTGCACAACTTACAGGATATTCACGTTAAAGATCGAGTGCATGATTTAACTACTCATAGCAAAAAAACCAAGTCTTATGATATCAGAAGAATTGATTTCACAAGAAATTCACAAGTCTTTTAGGAACACGACTATACTAACTATGGTCGATAAAGAAACAAGTTCACAACGACAATGCAATCAACTGCTACACAATAATCAGCTCATCCTAAGAAGGGCATAATGCTGTCATCAAATGCCACACACACAAGTTTGGAGAAATTATTAAACAGCTAACCAATGTAGTACATTTAGATCCTAATTCATACCATTAATCGTGAAGATTACGCATTGTAGTGAGACACAATCAGAAAATACATTGGTGATAGTCACTCATAACACTGTTTGTGTCAAAAACACTTTTAGGAGCCTAACATATGCTTTTAAAAATAAGATTATGAAGAAGCTAATTAGAGAGACTGAACCTAAATTGTGAGGTAGGTCACAAGTTTTACAATGTAAAAGCAAAAGGCGTTACACTTACACAACCATGTGCATTACATTCAAGCACAATCATGCAAGGGAAGTGAGATTACCTAAAAGGATACGACTCAGATGCAGTAGTCACATATACATAAATATATGATTCTCTAATAAAAATGGAGTTTCAGTGCAGAAATATAATGCAAATCTGTATTAAGCAATAAAACGAGAAGAGTACAAAACACATGTAAAATTTTAGTATTGGTGCATGGAAGCTAATATACAAGACAGCATAGCAATAGCAGGGATGAAGAATTCATGGAAAGAGAGTGATAGTGTTAGTGAATTGTACAAAAGAATTGAAATAGAAAAGTCAAACAGGAACATAGGCACCAGCAGAAGGAGAGTCCCCAACACCAAGCATAGGGCCATAGGGGGATTCTTGATCATCGCCAGCAAGCTCATCCGTACTCCTGAGCGCACCGTGCAAGCAAACGACGACGGCCCCAACGGCGGCGGAGAGAAGGAGGTTGGGCCAGACACCGGTGGCGAAGAGCGCGACGAGGGTGGCGAGGGCGAGGGGGAGGAGCGCGAGGGGGAAGTCGGGGCGGGCGAAGTAGAGGAAGTACCAGGCGGCGAAGAGGAGGAGGAAGAGGAGGAGAGGGAAGGGGTGGCGGAAGAGGGTGAGGAGGAAAATGAGGAGGAGGAGGAGGGCGTAGTTGGCGAGGAAGTAGGTTAGGTTGTGGGCGAGGCGCGTGGTGGCTTCCGAGATGGAGGAGGGGAGGCTGAAGGCGGAGAGGTCCAGGAAGACGCGCCAGGGGCGACGCGTGGATACCACGCTCTCGCTCGCTTCCTTTATGTTTGAGAGAGTCTCCGCCGAGGGCCACATTCTCATTACTGAAATTGGGAGAAGGCACTGTCTTGTAGTTGTGCGTGTTCGTGGGATTTAGATTTTCATTTGGGAAGAAAGGACAAGACCAGCCACTCGTCGATGGAACCAACCAACACAAACGAAGTTTCCCCCCCTCCCCCTCTCTCCTTTTTCCAATTGGGCCCTCCTCCCAGGCCCAAAGTATTTTTTTAACACAACAAGTGTACATTACAACACACATATTTATCATCAATACAATTATAACATAACTTTAAAGTTAAACTATATCAATTTACAACAACAAACACCTTACAACAATATTCAACTTAGATTATTAAACAACTTACATCAATATGCACTTACATTATATTAATAATAGAGGAATACCTCTTTTATTAATTACTTTTCATCTCTACATTTAATATACCATTATATCCTTATATTATTAAAATAAAATAATAAAATTTTAGTACCAATTATTCTCTTTTAATAAAAACTTAGTCTTTTTTGGAATTCTAAACCACTTATTTGCTTTCAATCAACTTCCATTTAATTGACAAGAGGATAGATTTAAAATTCGACTTAATGGGATAACCGATTCGAGTTAGATCTTATTGTAGAAAAATAAAATAGGAGGATTTTTAGTCATAACGGGATTCGATCTCCTATCCTCCTAAAAGATATAAATCTTATATGACAATTAAGTCAACTTTTATATTATGTAAACTGTATGAATTACATTATATTTATAATTAAATTTTTTAATATAGTTATATTCTTAAATATATTAGCAATTTATGTGATTATATATATATATATATATATATATA